TAGGGGAGGGGAGGTGGGGAAGTGGTAATTACCGGTTGCCGTAGTGCGTACTTTAGAACCATTACCTACAGTAATATATGATGATGAATTTAAAGAATGAGTACGAACATGAGAAAGAGTACTTGGGTCCGAGGCGATGTGGTGTGTGGCACCGGTGTCCATGTACCAGTTTGGATCACGGAGGGTGAGGGTGTCAAAGGTGTGGGCAAGGGTGGTGGATGTGGGGGGGTTGGCACCGGCTATGTAGGCTGAGGGGGAGGGCAGAGGGGCCGGGTGGGGTGGTGCTGTCGGGTAAGGGTGTGGGTATGGGCTGTTTTGGCCATAGGGTGAACCAGGTGAGGGGGGAGGTGGCGGGTAGGTGTATGGGGTGGAGAAATAGGCCTGGGGGTAGGGGTTATGTGGGTGAGGGTTTGGGCGAGGGCCAAGAAGACCCGGGTTGGTGTTTGGGTAGTTGAATTGTCCAGAGTTTTGCCCGAGGGTGTTTCGTGCATTTGACCCGAAGCTTCGGCCGCGACCATGACCACGATGTTGTCCGCCACGCTGCCGCTGCTGTCCGTAGCCAGTACCACCGCTGGAGTCTGTACGGCCGCCCTATCGTCGAGTTCCACCACTGCCGGCGCCTCCACTGCCGGCATAGAGGACTGTCCCGCCGTCTCCTGCACCACCACCGACCCCCAACTCAGCCCGTTGTTGTTCAATGAGAAGTAGGGTCAATCGAGTTTGAAGGAAGGTGGGGGGCGGCGTTTGGTATTGGAGAAATGAGGTTTGTGACCGAAGATCGTCCGGGAGGCCACGAAGAACTTGTAGAACCAGTTGTTGCTCGGAGACGGGGGCGTCTACATCGTCCAACCAATCCGCGAGATTGCGTAGGGTTTGGCAATACGTGGTCATAGAGAGAGAACCCTTCGTTGTCGTCCGGAATTGGTGCTCAAGTTGCATAGCCCGAGCCGGTTTGTTGTCGTGAAACATATTGTAAATAGATTTCCAAAGCTCCGAGGCTGAATTTGTGGTGGAGAGTACGAGATCGCAAACTTCATCGTTCACCGTAGATAGGATCCAACCTTGGATGAGTGCGTCAAGTTGGAACCACTCGGAGTCGTCGTCGCTTGAAGGAGAGGACTTGCCGGTGAGGAAATCTCCCAAAGAGAACCGCCGGATGAGAAGGAGGAAAAGCCGGCTCCATTTTTTGTAGTTTGGTTCAGAAAAACTGAGGAGGATCGGTACCTTAAGTTTCACGTTAGAGATGGTCGTGAACGCCAAGTGGGGGGTGGAGGAAGATGATTGAGCCGCGGTGGCGGGTGTTTTCTCAGACATGGTGACTGCAAAGAAAGAGGAAGAAGCCTGCCTGAGGGAGAAAAGCGCCGAGAGTCTGCCTTGGGAGAGAGCACTGCCGTGTGAAGAGAGGCGGCCTGGAGTCGCCGGCGAAGGACTGCAGCGGCGAGAGGCTGCTGTACGGCGAAGGAGAGAGGAGAGGGCTGCTAGGGTTTGCAGCAACGTTCGTTGGAACGTGAGAAAAGCTCCGATACCATGAAGAATAATTAATTTCTGTAAATAACAACGGAGGGCTAAGCCTCGTATAAATAGATACAATAGAGTCCTAACTACGTAAGGTAACTATACAAGGAAACCTACCATGTGTACAAGGATTACTACATTAATATTAAATATACAATTACTATATTTAACAATAATATTTCATCAATAACGAGTGTTTTTTTACTCCAGTTGTGTATGAAATTACATCTCTACCCCAATACAGATTCATCATATGGAGAGGTGATGATAGAGTATGCGATCAACACAAATAAATAGCATAGCACTAACAATTCTTTTGAAAAACACCATCTCTCTCAGGGTGAAAAATAAATAAATAAACAAAAACGCCATGTAGCATAGCGAAAATAAAATAATAAAAAATAACTTATTAAAAACGCTATGTGGCATGACGAAAAAACAAAAAAAAAATATTAAATAACGCTGTGTGGCATGGCAAAACAAAAAAAATTAAAATAAGTTTCGCCATGGATCAGGGCGTATTTCCCTCTAAGAAAACATGTTTTCTACTCTTTGTCTATGAGGTAATTGATTCTAAATGATATAAAATTTATGAGATACGATAAATAAATCTTTTGAGAATTGCTTTTGGCGGTAACAATTTAAATTTACGTCAAAAGAAATTTGAAACAAATGACTAAAATGGAAAAAAGTAGGATTGGTTTTGCAAAATGAATCATAACCAAATTATCTGCAGAGGGAGGAGTGATCGATGAATCTCCTAGAGAATCGAGAATAAAAGAACTCTCACATGAAAAATAGGAATGATTGGATTATCAATAATAAGAATATGAATGTTCTTGAAAATTTAAATGAATGAGTGATACAGTCTCTTATACTTCTTCCGTCCTAATTTTAGATGCATGTTGTTTTTTATTTGCTTTGACTAAAATTGCTTTTTATTAAATTTATTTTAAAAATTATTATAGAATTAAAAAAATAAAATTTATATATACTTAAAAACTGCATCAGACCCTATAAAATAAGATGTAACAAGACTATATACGGAAAATTATTTTATCAAATGGGTAGCTAAAATGGGTAAAGAACGTGGTTAAAGTTTGATCACCCTGTGAATAATAAACAAGCAACTTAAATTAGGATAGATGGAGTAAAAAATTATTTGAATTTCTAAACTCGTTTTTAAAAACAGACAAATTTTAAAACTATTCTCTCTCCGTCCTAAATTAAATTTCTTGTTTACTAATCACGTACGTGGTCTAACTTCACTCATTTTCTTTATTTATTTTAGTTACTGACTTGATAAAATAATACCGAGTATAATCATGCAGTTCACCTCTTATATCGTAAAACTTTTAAATTTTGTTCTTTAGAACTCAACTCTTAACTTCTAGTTTCTCCTAGTTTTTTCAATTCCTTCTAATGTTTTCTAGTTTCTTTCAGTTTTTCAAGTTTCTTCCGGTTCATTTATGTTTTTTAAGTTTCTTCCAGTTTTTTTTCCAATTTTTCTTCTTATTTCTTCTATTGTTTTCCACTTTTCCCTAGTATCTTCATTCTCTTCAATTTTTTTCCTAAATAATGACTCTAAAAATAATATTTTTTTCATGTATTACTACCATTATTATTACTATTATTATTATTATTATTATTATTATTATTATTATTATTATTATTATTATTATTATTATTATTATTATTATTATTATTATTATTATTATAACTATAAGTTATAATTTATTTCAATTTTTCGGTTTTATTTTTTCCCATGTCACTATTTTGTGATTCATAGTCACTATTATATTTCTTCTATTTTTAATATAAATAATACCTAGTACAATTTTATTAGAAAAACTGTTCTTTTTTTATAATGTGCATAACACTAAACTATGTTCTAAAAACTATGCATATTTTATGTAAGGCTTCGAAAATAAGTCTATCAAAATTAATTAATTGATAATTTATTAATTACTAAGAAAGACCCTTAAATAAGTGATTTATAAAGTTTATCATTATTAATGAAAATTATATTGTTGTGTAGAGTTTGTCTGGTCGCAACGGTACAATTAGATTTTAATACGGAGAAAGTTGGACCAGAAAGTGTACCCCGACTAGAATTACATTAGTCCCAATATGCTATGATGTGTAAAATCTCCGTAAGTTGCGAATTCGCTGCTAGCTGACACAACATAAGATAAAATGATCTCTCTCTGGCTTCTTCCCTTACACCTTGGCTATATAAGGTCAGCCCTCTTCCCTTAAATCCTCACCATTTCTTCCAAAATTAGTCTCTTTGTGTTCCTAAGAGTGGGGAGAGTATGCTGTGAGAGTTTGTTACCGCCAGAGTCACCGGTGTTGGTAGCAATCCTCGCTGGAAATTTCACCAGAATTTTTCCAAAACTTCCATTTTCACTCGAGGTAGGCCCTTAGTTATATCTAGTGAGTAGAATGTTCATATAGATCGTTTGATTGAGTTTTGTGTGTTGCCATGCTTGAAGAACTAAGAATCATAAACTTTGAAATTGTTGTAAAAACTTCGAATTAATGGTACCAAAATGATCTATGAACCTTGAAGAACATTTTGTATATAGTTTAATTGAAGTTTGGTAGCTTAAAATGGTGTTTTTGAAAATTGGACTGAGGTTGAAGACGTACGAAGTACTGTGTTGAATTTCGAACCATAACGGTAGCAACCTACTGCCAGATGGTAGCTAGTTACCACCATTCTAATTAGGTCTCCATTAATGGTGGAATAAGCAAAGGAAGAAGATCACCAAAGCTGAATGAAATAAATAATGATGTGATTAATTTTGGCGACAGACAAGGGCGAGATTGTCGGGACGGATGTGATAGTTTTGAATTGTTATTTCAAAATACACGAATTATTTATATTTTTTATTGTGATTTGTTAAGCTTCTACAACATCGAAAACTCCATACTTTTTCTATTATAATATAATTTTTAGTGAATAAAAGTGTTTGAAATGTTTTAAATTTTATGATTACTAACTTAATACTTTAGTCCGAAGGGAGTTGCAGACATGGACGGATTAAGGTGTTACATTTTATCTATCTATTATTTAAAAAGCCATGGATTTCCATTGGTCTTTTCCCGCCCAATGCTCTTTGGCATTACATAAGGTATGTGCTCATAAAATTGGTAAGTATTAAATGTTTTTATTGTTTGATATGTTATGTGTTAAATGCTAAACGTGTATAGAACCGTGTTTACATTTTTAAATCTATATTAATACACGAAATTATGTTCTAAACTTTCCATTATTATTTACACGAAATTATGTTCTAAACTTTCCATTATTATTTTTATTTAATAGTATGGTATCGTATTGTCCTTTTAAAATTTAAAGGTATGTTAAATAAAAGTATGTGCTCATAAAATTGGTAAGTATTAAATGCTTTTATTTTTTGATATGGTATGTGTTAAATGCTAAACGTGTATAGAACCGTGTTTACATTTTTAAATCTATATTAATACACGAAATTATGTTCTAAACTTTCCATTATTATTCTTATTTAATAGTATGTACTAGGAATTTTAATACACGGTATTTTAAAAAAACCCTTATACATAGTTTTGAATGTGAAAGAAAAATAATTACAAAATACATCAAGAAGGCAATAAAACTTTGTAATTTTATTATTATTTAATAGCATGGCACCGTGCTGCTATTTTAAAATTTTAAAATATATTAAATAAAAACTTTCATGAATTAGGTATATATCGTGTTGCTCCACCCTCTTGAATAATAAAAAGGCAACATAAATTTTTACTATTGAATAATATACACAGTATTAATACTAGAAATATTAATACAAGGAATCTATAAATTTTAAAGATGGTAATAATAATAAACAGAAAAGGTATTTAAACCATAATGTGATGTCAAGTGGTATAGCATCGTGTGGGAATGTTACCATAAACTTTAATTGTAATTACCACAATTTCCTTTCGTTACCATAATATAATAGATTACCATAATAAACCATAATTGTATGTAATTATAATTACCATTACCATGAAAAACTTTAATTCTTCGTGAAAATTCTGGATAGTATAAATACGCTACATTACCGTGCCAGTAAATTAAACGAGTGTTCAGGAAACAAGAGTTTTAATTAATCGCTTCACCTCTGTTTTTGGCCGGAGATGGGAGTGATGATTACCGCCCTAAAAAATGTTCATGAAAAATCCGGGTTGTTGATGATGAAGCTAAGAGGAATTAGAGTTTACCACGTTGCTGCTCATTCTCGAGGGCCGGAATCGTTGGATGTTGTTTTCCACGACTCAGAGGTTAATTCTACATTGTTTTATATTTTACAAATAATAGATCTTTAAACAAAAAATATAAATTTAATTATAGATTAACGTTTTATATTTGTTGTTAGGGCGCTCGGATCCATGCTGAGGTCAAAGATACTGATATAAGCACATTCAAACAAGATTTGCAAGAAAATGCGGTTTACTTAATCATGAAGGTCAAGGTTTTACGCAATTTCCAAGGCACAAAAACTACCAATCACCCTTGCATGCTCCAACTTTTGGGAAAGACCAAGATTCAAAAACTAACAGACAATGGATTTCCTAATTTTCGATTCTACTTTAAGAGTTTTGAAGATGTTCTCAAAACAAAGTTTGCTGACCAAGTCTTTTTAGTTGGTAAGGGTCATATACATTTACATAACTTAAATACTTACACATATGAAATACATTTTATGTATTATGATTATGAAATTTTTAAAATTGTATTTTTATGGATTTTCAGATATAATCGGGAAAGTAGTTAGTCGAATTGTGCCCGAAACCCGTATGGTTAAAAATGCCCCGGAGCAAATGATGGAAGTTACCTTGGTGAACCACAAGTAAGTGACTTTTTAATAACCAAATTCATTTTAATTAAAAAAAATATTATACTTTGAAAAAATTACTAAATAATTCATTTGCATGATACGTTATTTCGTGGTTAGCTAATTACTAAAAAATTGTGACACATATTATATTTAAAAATAATTATAACTTTTTTTTGTAGTGGCGTTCGGTTGAATTGTACGTTATGGGGAAATCACGTCAATGTTTTCATTGATGGATTGAGTGCATCGGATTCGACCCTTCCAATTTTGGGGTTGCAAATTGTCAAACCTAAGTTCTACAATGGTATATATTCATAAATTAATCCAAATTAATTTTGAAAGACATGTACCCAATGATTTAATTCTAATTGTATTTTTTTTCAAATCATTTAGAGCAAGTGTCTGTTACAACATTTTACTCTGTGAGCAAGGTTTTACTCAATGATGAGTGTGATGAAGTTCAAGCTTGGAGAGAAAAGTAAGTCCACATGTATTCTTGCAGATCTTTTATTTCTAAAAATATAATCAACGTGTTGTTTAAATTTTTAACAATTGTAATAATGCATGTTAATGTTAAGTGCTAATCATTTAACCCAAAGTTGTAGTATCGTCTCAACACAATCAAGATCAAGAGATGATAAAAGAACGAGCAACTTGAAAGTGGTCTCCATTCATGAACTAAAAAACATGAGCAATGTAAGACATATTTCTTTACATGTTATAAAAAAAATAAGTTACTTTTCACCTTAAATATATTGCATATTCATCTATGGCAATTATGGAAATACGTGTTCCTTTTTTTAAATAATTTTAATTTAGTTTTAATACCCGAGTAATAAAAAGTAAATTTATTAATGATAAATTTTTAAGTGAGAATTAGGCTTTAATTTTATTTTCTTTCCTAAATTATTCACTATTTGCAAATTACGTTAGTTTAAAAATTCTGAATAAGATTAATTTTTATGAGCTATTGATAATTTAGTATTGCAGAAAGTAAATAATGGCATAATTAAAATATTTAAATTCAATTCAAGTAGTCACGAGAGACCAAAAAGGAAAAAAATGCAAATTTCCATTTAAATACCTAAATTAATTAGATGTATTTTCTAATTTCCTAATTTATGAAAAAACAGGATTCCATTCTTATTTGGAATTAGTAATTATGTACGGATATAATTTAATAAATACCCTAATAATAGTAATAGTCGATTGATTTTCTTTATTTTAAATAATTACTACACGCAAATATATATATATATATATATATATATATATATATATATCTATATATGTATATATATATATATATATATATATATATATATATATAAAATAGTAATACATTTTATTGATTTATTTCTTATATTAGCAGAAAGGATATTATTGGATACTTGGTGATGTTGTTGAAATTGAAAACACCAATGAATGGTGTTATCTTGGTTGTCCCAAGTGCAACCGGAAGGTTGCTCCAGATGCTACGAGGTTCAAGTGTATGAAATGCGAAAAAGATTATCCTGAGGGAGTGTATGTTATTTGCATTCAAAATATTTAATACCCCAAAAGAATAATTTTTAAAATTACTAATTCTTAACGTATGATAAATAGATACAAGGTGAGCATTTGTGTTATTGATAATCTCTGAAATGACGATTAACAAGAGCCAGGGACAATCTCTGAAACATGTTGGACTACTGTTACGGAAACCTGTGTTTAGTCATGGACAGCTTTATGTTGCAGTTTCAAGAGTAACTAATCGTAGTGGATTGAAGATTCTGATATGCAATGAAGACAATACTCCCACAAAGACTACAAATAATGTAGTCTATAAAGAAGTCTTTCGAAATTTGTAAAACATTGATGTTTTGTACTTTCAAATAATATAATCTCTATATTCTATTGCATCTCAGTTTTTATCATTGAAAAATGATCTGAATTTAATAACATAAAAATGACCTGTGCAACGCACGGGTGTGATACTAGTTAATATGAATTGACCTAGGAAAAATCTAAATATTTTAAATTAAAAAAATATTAATTATTCTACTCTCTTTGTCCCTAATTAAATGACATGTATATTATCAACGTGGTCAAATTTTATTCACTATTTTACCTATTAAGAATATGATAATAGTAATGATAATTAATAAGAATCATAATAATAAGAGCATCTCCAATCATCCTACTTTGGCTTGCTAAAAGCTATAATATAGAAAATCTACTCATTTTTCTCTTCTCCAATGGGTGTGTTAAATTTTAGCAAACTTGTCAAAAAATGATTTTGGCTTGCTAAATATAACAAGCTCTCCAAATTATAGGAATCCAAGAGTTGTAGAATGGATTAGAAAGCCATGATTGGAGAGTGGAACAAAATATCACTTGCTATATCACTATTCACTTGTTAAAATATAAAAATAGCAAGCCAATATAGTGAATAAGGTTGGAGATGCTCTAAGTAGTAAGTGATAGTAGTAGTAGTAGTAGTAGTAACAACAACAACAACAATAACAACCACAACAATTATAATAAGAATACTATGTAGAATGTACTTAAATAAAGTTTTGATGTTTTTTTCAATTTTTTCTAGTTTATTCTAGTTTTTTTAATTTCTCCCAACATTCGATTTTTTTCAGCCTAAAAACAGGCTCTTAATGCACTATAGTTTTTAAATATCCGTATTTTTAAATTTTACCACAATTTTTTAACAAATTATACACTATATTAAATATAACTTTAACCAAACATCATAAACAGAAACAAGTGATTTATATTTGGAAGTTGATAACAATAATTAGCAACTCTCTTTCTCCATTAATTTCTTTGCCACTTTACTTTTTAGGCCGTCCATAAATATCTTTTCATTTCATATTTTGGCATATATTTTTAATAAATGTGTCACTGTATCACACTTTTCATCTACACTATTTACTTTATCACATCACATCAAAAGTAATGCATGGAAAGTCTTTATATTTTTTAACTTTTCTATTACAATTCTCGCACGGATTACAACGGACGAGGAAGATAAACAGCCCCGGAAAATAAAAAATAAATAAAATTCTGAATTTATAATTTATTCAGAATTTAACTAAATAAAAAAATTGAAAATAAATCTCTAGATATTCAAAATGCGTTGTTGTATAAGGACATTATGCACTGGATCGCACGAACATTATGCACTGGGCTGAAGGAGATTGTCTGGGACGAAGACACTATGAGACGCAGCGAGGTCACTAATGAAGTGGCAAGGACATTATGGCTTGAACAGATCACCAGTGAAGACATTATGGCCTAGGGCAGACCTCAACGAGGTCGTTATGAGCTAAATCTGCAAAACAAAACACCGTGGAAGGACAACGGAGTCGCCGGAGCTGTCCTTAAGGTAGTAGTGCCCGCCTACCGTACCGGAAAAATGTGGGCACTCTCCTCCTAGGATAAAACCGCTATCGTGTGCGGAGATTGTATGAAACAACCACACACCAACGAACAAAAACAACGTAGGAACGTTGGCAAACAAAACATTGAAGGGGATTGCCGGAAATTCAACCGATAAATCAAAAGCTCTCTCTAAAAAAACAAGAAAGTTTTTCCTATTTTTTTCCTTTCTTCCTCACGCATAAAAGCACACCCCCACAATAGAGAGCCTCCTTGATTTGTTTTTATAACTAAGGAATTTAAAAAGGTGTAACTTATACACAATTAATTTTTAGCATTAAACCATGGCATTTGTGGCACACTAATGACGTGCTAATGGTGATTAATTAGCTATTAACACGTCCGTTACGCTACGCTCCTTTTAAATTTTTTCCCAAATAATTGGAGATTAATGGAGAGTTAACTCCGTAAAAATGGACTAATTTTAAACAATACATAAAATTAATAATAGAAGATTGGTTAGTAAAATTGCAAAAATTGCAATCCTTACCATATTCTTCTATTAACGGGTTAACTCTGAGAATCAATTTCTCATTCACCCTCTACCATTGTTGGCATATAAATTATCAAAAACATTAATATCGTTTAAGAGAACACACGTCCATTAATTAACGGTTAAAACCGTTAGTGGACCTTTTGACAAATATACCCAAGTTGGTCCATTTAATGCCTATTAAATAATGCCAAAAATTCCAACAATCCCCCACATGAATGGAAAAATTGATTTGGGGTCGACAACATCCCACGGTTGAAAACCTGCAAAGAACAGGTAAGTGTATCCACTTTTGAACATGTCCCTTGTAAAGTATACCTTCTTTACTAGCTGTTCAGTAGAACGCGATGTTTTTGAACTGTACTGCCGTTTGTGTAAACGATAGTATATCATACATAGATTCCAACCAAAATTTCATTATGTTCTCATGGTTGTGCCCATTTTGGTCATGGGACATGCGCCTGGTTCTGCGAGAGTGTTTCGAGGATTAAGCCCAAGATCCTCCATTTGAAGCGACCACACTTCACTCTTACATAGGTGATTCTTTAAGAGTTTCCCGATTACTCTACTTAGACCACTGTGTCTATTTGTTAAGAATAACTAAAGCATATTTATATGCAAACCTCATCATTTTCGGGAGTCACAGTCTTCAGCAGGAACAGAAGGGACTGACCGGAGATTCTGATACCACCCCCACAGTGACCACGCTTCATCCTATAAGTAGGTTGTCCCATTGAACCTGGGTACCAGCCAGCTAGGTTGGATTTTTCTTCATAGTACTGTCCTAGCACAAAGGCTTCAAACCCATTCCTGCCAACAACTTATCATGCAACTCATTTGTTAACCCTTTGGTTAGCGGATCCGCCACATTATCTTTTGACTTCACATAGTCAATTATGATAATCCCAGTTGTGAAAAGTTGTCTAATGGTTTTGTGTCTACGACAAATATGTCTACACTTACCATTATACATGTTACTCTTTGCACTTCCTATTGCCGATTGACAATCATAATAGATGCAAACTTGTAGGACCAGTTTATCCCATCTTGGAATGTCCTCTAGAAAGTGGTGTAGTCATTCAGCTTCCTCACCACATTTTTCTAAAGTTATAAACTCAGATTCTATAATGGACCTAGAGATCACTGTTTGCTTTGAGGATTTCCAAGATATTGCTGCACCCGCTAGCGTAAAGATATATCCACTTGTGGACTTCAAGTCTTTACTATCAGATATCCAATTCGCATCCATGTATCCTTCCAGTACCGGTGGATATCTCGAGTAGCATGATCCATAGTCACGTGTACACCGCAGGTATCTCATCACATGTACAATAGCCTTCAAGTTCTCATCACTCTGATTGCTGGTGTATTTACTCAGCTTACTTATGCCACAAGCTAAGTCTAGTCGAGTGCAACTCATTAGATATATCAAATGTCCAATAACTCTCGCATACTCGATTTGAGAGTTACTGGAACCTCGGTATTTAGCCAGATGTGCGTTGGCGTCCAACGACGTCTTTGCTACTATGACGTCATCCTTGTTGAACTTGTCAAGGATTTTATCAATATAATGGGATTGGATCAGTGCTAGAACCCCAGGTCTTCTCACAATTTTAATTCCAAGAATTACTTCAGCCTCACCCATATCTTTCATGTCAAATCACAAGTTTAACATGTCTTTGGTAGACTTGATCATCTTGTCATTGCTACCAACTATGAGTATGTCGTCTACATAGAGACACAACATGACATACCCTTAGGATGTGTTTTTAGATAAACACACTTGTCCGATTCATTAATTTTGAAGCCAGAGTTCATCATTACCTGGTAAAACATCTCATGTCATACTTTTGGCGCCTGTTTAAGACCATATAATGACTTAACAAGTTTACATACTTTCCTTTCTTTACCGGGAACTATAAACCCTTCTGGTTGTTCCATGTAGGTCTCTTCTTCTAGATCTCCATTAAGGAAAGTCGTTTTTACATCCATTTGGTGAACTTCTATGTTTCGCAATGAAGCTATTGCAAGTATCATCCTAATGGAATTTATCCTTGACAAAGGGGCATATGTATCAAAATAATCAAAGCCCTCACTTTGATTTTAATCCGTAATTACAAGTCTGTCTTTGTACTTATCAATGGAACCATCTGGTTTCATTTTCCTCAAAAAGATCCACTTAGAACCTAACGGTTTGCAACCAAGAGGTAGATTCACTAACTCCCAAGTGTGATTCTGCATAATAGAATCAACTTCACTTTTAATTGCCTCTTCCCTCGACTTTACCGAAAATATATTTTCGAAGAATGTTGCATTCCTTGATTCCATTATCGTGTTCTTATGTAATTCTCGATTTTCAACCTATACACTAAGAATTGATACGCGCTACCACTGTAGCCAATAAAGATTCCATCAACGGTCTTTGGACCAATCTTTATTTTCTTTGGTGGTGGTGCTAAAACTTTTGCAAGGCACCCCCACACTTTCAGGTATTTATAGGAAGGTTTCCTATGCTACCACAACTCGTAAAGAGTCTTATCAAGTTTCTTTCGAGGTATTTTATTTAACAAATAATTACTAGATAAAATAGCCTCCCCCCACATATTTTGGGGTAGCCCCGAACTGAGCAACATCGCATTCATCATATCTTTGAGAGTGCGATTTTTCCATTCCGCCACACCATTTGAATGGAGTGTGTATGGCGGAGTTACTTGATGCACAATTCCATGTTGTGCACATAATTCGGAAAATGGAGCTTCGTACTCCCCGACCCTATCACTCCTAATCGCTTTAATTTTGCAATTGAGTTGATTTTCTACGTCATTCTTATACCGAATAATGAAAGTGTCCAACGCCTCATCTTTACTTTTAAGTAAATAAATATAGCAGTACTTCGTGCTATCATCGACAAAAGTGATAACATATAGCAGTACTTTGTGCTTTAAAATCACACATATCCATGTGAATTAAATCTAGTGGCTGAGGAGTTCGTTCAATCGTTTGAAACGAACTTTGTGTTGACTTTGCTTCGACACATGTCTCACATTTGTGGGACAGGTCGACGTCAAACTTAGGATATATTCCATGTTAATTAATTTCCAAATAGATGCATAATTAACATGTCCCAGTCTACCATGCCACATGTAACACCCTAATCCGTCCAGGTCTGCAGCCCCATTCGGACTAAAGTATTTAACTTGGTAATCGTAAAATTTAAAACTTTTCAAAATATTTTCAATATTTTATTCCAAGTCATTTGATATTCAATATATATCAATAATGCTCTTAAATTATTCTTAATCTAAGGCCACATCATTTTATATTCAGCTCTTAGCTATTCCTAGTCTAAGGCAGTAATTCTAACCAGGCCCTTAAACTATAAATAGTTTAATGCAGAACACAAGAATCGATAATTCACCCTATGAGTCATGTGGATTACGTACCAACCGAACAATGATTTGTCGGGTGGGTGATATCCGGTCTGGATCCCGTACGTACGTTTTAACCCGAAATATGAATTGGTCAAGTAGGTATATCTTAGAGTCTTTCTAGATATCCTTAATAATCATCATCAATATACAAGTGGGTATATCTTAGAGTTCTTCTAGATATCCTTAACAATATACACTGTTTTCATAATCACAATTAATTCATTTTTAATCATGACTTAATCATCAATAATCATTTTAATCAGTAGGTTTATCATTCATAATTATCCATAATAATTATTCATCATAATGATCATTCAACATAATATTTAATAGCAAACAGCAGCCTAGTCTCGAGTGTTAACACTCGAACTTACCGTCATGCATCACATAATGTTTATATGTCACAAACATCATTTTTATTGTACAAAATCATATTTATATTGTGCATAATTAATTGGTATCAAAAATAGGATTTTTAGAGCATATTTTAGGATCTGGACTTTAGGAAAATCGATTATTTCATTTAAAATGACCAATTAAATTATAAAAATCGATTTATATAATTAAAATAATCTATTAATTCATAAAAATCGATTTTTGCTTGAGAAATAATCCATTAAATCAATAAAATCGATTTTTTCTAAAAAAATAATCCATTAAATCAATAAAATCGATTTTTGCTTGAAAAATAATCCATTAATGAGTAAAAATCGATTTTTGCTTTAGGAATAATCGATTAAATATTAAAAATCGATTTGGTCTTTATGAATAATCGATTTGTTCTTGATAAATGGGTACTGACTTCAAACATCTCGTCTGAACGAAGTTTTAATCGATTTTTAGGAAGATAATAATCGATTTTTGGTCACTGTTCATCGTCTTCTTCCTTCGGTCCATTTTCGGAAATACCAATTTTAGTTACCAAACTNTAAAATCGATTTTTGCTTGAAAAATAATCCATTAATGAGTAAAAATCGATTTTTGCTTTAGGAATAATCGATTAAATATTAAAAATCGATTTGGTCTTTATGAATAATCGATTTGTTCTTGATAAATGGGTACTGACTTCAAACATCTCGTCTGAACGAAGTTTTAATCGATTTTTAGGAAGATAATAATCGATTTTTGGTCACTGTTCATCGTCTTCTTCCTTCGGTCCATTTTCGGAAATACCAATTTTAGTTACCAAACTTCAATTAAACTATATAGAAATGTTCTCCAAGGTTCATAGATCATTTTAGGATCATCAAAACATATTTTTAACAACAAATTCAAGGTTTATGATTCTTGGTTCTTCAAACACATCGAACACAAAACTCAACCAAATGACCATTTATGAACGTAAAAACAACCTATATGAACATTCTAATCTTTAGATATATCTACGGGCTTAACTCGAAGCTTAATGGAGGTTTTGGAAATTTTCCGGCGAGTATTTCTCCCAACTCCAGCGACTTCACACCAAATTGACAGCACCACAACACTCCTCACACTTTAATGAACATTTAGGAAGAAGAATGAAGAAGAATGGTGAAGAAATGAGAAGGTTGGGTTTTTCTTATATAATGAGAAGGAGAGAAGAAGAAGGTGACTCTGTGATCGGCGTAGTGGGGAAGGAGGCGCCGTCTAAATAGTTCCCTGATTGGGACCTATTTTGGTTCCAGTCGGGGTACACTTTTTGGTCCAACTTTCTCCAAATTGAAATCCGTTTGCACCGTTGCGATCAGACAGTCGAGCTCTATCTAATAATTATTTGTAATACTTTTTCCGACATCATATTTTTGGGTGTTTGACTTTAACAGAGTCAAAATTGGTTTAATTGACCTTTCTCATAAAAGGTTCTCTCATTTAACTCATATCAATTATTCTCATGATTTATTTCAATAAATAATTACAAAGTTCACATCATAATTAATTAATTTATTTATTCTTGATTTGGGTCTGTACTCAGGTTCCCAATCAAGACAACACAAATAGTCCACATATTGGATTTATCTCGATTAGACTTATCCAGATTTTGATATTGGATATTAAAAAATATTTCATATCGGCCCAAAGCCCAATAATAATCAAAACAAATTTGTTTAATCGAATAATTATTTAATAATAATTCTAGGGTATGTTTCGGGGCGTTACACCACAAATGGGAAGACTCACAAACATAGGCAATATGAGTTTTATTAATTTTCTCAACAACAATGAGTACATTAAGCTTAAAAAGCCCATCAGAAATATAACCTTTGCCTATGTATATTCCTTTTTTTCTCAAGATTAGCTTATCAGACTCGAACACCATGCGGAATCCATGTTTGTTCAATAGTGAGCCTGACACCAAGTTTTTTCGTATGTGTGGCGCATACAATGCATCATTCAGTGTGAGCTCCTTGCCGGATATCATCTCCAGCTTCACTTTGCCCACACCTTGAACCTCGGATTGGGCGGAGTTACCCATCCACACCTTGTCGCCAGAAGTCTCCTTAAAGTCAAAGAGCATGGCCCGCTTGGAGTAGATATGATGAGTGGCTCCAGTATCAACCCACCACTCCTTTAGGTTAGACCCGACCAAGTTGACCTATTCACGACCGCACAAAGATCCATAGCATCTAGCTCCAACCAGAGAGCTTCTTATTTTGAAGCTTTTTGCGGCGGTCTGAAGAACGGTGGCCCGTAATGCCACAGTTGTAGCATTTCCCTGCGAACTTAGTCTTCGCAACGCCTCCTTTAGGACCAATTTTCTTCTTGTCCTTATTTGGCTTTGGCCCTTTGGAAGAACCCTCTTTGGGTGGATGCTCCACCACATTGGCCTTAGCAACAGCTTCTTTCTTCTCGTGAGTGAGACCCTCTTCATGGATCTGGAGACGAACAAGCAACTATTCTAAGGTCATCTCTTTCTGTTTGAGCTTGAGATAGCTCCGGAACTCATCCTAAGCCGACGAGAGAACATGAATAATCGATTCCACTTGGAATGCCTCACTGACTCCCATTCCCTCGTCAGTGCACTCATTAAAAATGAGGATCAATTCTTCAGCTTGACTGACCACAAGTTTGGAATCCACCATCTTAAAATCCAAAACCTTACCGACAACGAATTTCTTCGCACCGGCGTCCTCGGCCTGGTATTTGTTGGAAAGTGTAGTCCATAACTCCTTTGCGGATGCAGGCCTGCTATAAACAGCATATAAGGCATCGCTCAAACAGTTCAGGAAAAGGTTATGGCACATATAGTCATTCACTATCCGTGCCTCCTTAGCCTAAACTATTGGCTTGTCCGCGTTTTCCCCCACAACAGGGGATCCTCCCTCAAGTACCTCGCAAAGTTGAGGGTGGTCAGCCAAAATAACATCCTTTGATGCCATATATTGAAGCCAACACCTGTGAACTTTGCCGAATCTTTGACAGAGTTCGCAAGCAGCATGACATAGGATGTCTGACCAGTTCGGATGTGAAGACACCCGTGTTCGGTCCAAATGGGGGAATGACCGATATGGTTGAAGCCATATTCAGTGATAGTGGGGTGACCGTTGCGGCAGTAGCCGCGGTCGATCCATTAAACGAGGTTACCGGAGCAAACTCCATAGTCGCGCTCGATCCAACGAAGGTGAGGATCAGAGTGGACCCCACGGCCACACTCGATCTTAAAAGAACGTTGATCGGAGTGGTCTGCCCAACAGAGCCACCTAATCCAGCCGAAACGTTCACAACCGCAGTCTCGGAACTACTCCCGTTTCTGGTGTGAGCATCAAAACCGAAACCGTCCATATCCACCATCGTGCACGAATATGACTACTACCTTAAGATTGTTACAATTTTCTCACGGATTACAACGGACGGGGAAGATGAACGGCCCCACAAAATAAAAATAAATAATATTCTGAATTTATAATTTGTTCGGAATTTAACAAAATAAACAAAATCGAAAATAAATCTCTAAATCTTCAAAACGTGTTGTTGTATGAGGACATTATGCACTGGACCGCACAGACATTATGCACTGGGCTGAAGCAGAAACTCTGGGACGAAGACACTGTGAGAGGTAGCGAGGTCACTGAGGTAGTGGCGAGGACATTATGGCTTGGACCAGATCACTAGTGAAGACATTATGGCCTAGGCAGAATGCAGCGATGTCGTTATGAGCTAAACCTGCAAAACAAAACACCGTGGAAGGACAGCGGAGTCACCAGAGCTGTCCTTAAGGTAGTAGTGCCCGCCTACCGTACCAGAAAAACGTGGGAACTCTCCTCCCAGGATAAAACCACTATCGTGTGTGGAGATTGTACGGACCAACCACACACCAACGAACAAGAACAGCGTAGGAACGTTGGCGACCAAAACTTTGAAGAGGATTGCCAGAAATTTGGCCGAAAAATCAAGAGCTCTTTCTAAAAAAAACAAGAAAGTTTTACCTTTTTTTCCTTTATTCCTCATGCATAAAAGCACACACCCACAATGGAGAGCCCCCTTCATTTGTTTTTATAACTAAGGAATTTAAAAAAGTGTAACTTACACACAATTAATTCTTAGTATTAAACCATGACATTTGTGACACACTAATGACGTGTTAATGGTGATTAATTAGCCATTAAAACGTCCGTTACGCTACGTTCCGTTTAAAATTTGTCCTGAATAATTGGAGATTAATGTCATGTTAATTCCATAAAAATGGACTAATTTTAAACAATACGTAAAATTAATAATAGAAGATTGGTTCAGTAAAATTGCAAAAATTGTAATCCTTACCATATTCTTCTATTAACTGGTTAACTCTAAGAATCAATTTCTCATTCACCCTCTACCATTGTTGGCGTATAAATTATCAAAAACATTAATATCGTTTAAGAGAACACACGTCCATTAATTAACGGTTAAAACCGTTAGTGGACCTATTGACAAATATATATCAAAGTTGGTCCATTTAATGCATATTAAAAATGCCCAAAATCCCAGCATTTTCTTAATCCCCGTGCAAAGTCAAAGGGAGAAATTTTTTGGACAGGGAGACTAAATCATTAAATAATATCATTAAATAATACTCCCTCCGTCCTTTAAAGTCGTTCCTTGACTTTTTGGGAAATTAAGAGATGGATATTTTGGTATTGACTTTCAAAAATACTCTTGATGTGATTGGGAAAAGTAAGATATGATGGATAGATTATTAGTAAAAAGATATGATGTAATAGCTAGGGTATAAAAAATAAGGGGTAAAAATAGTTTTTTAAAAATAGATAAAGAAAGTAATTAGTAAGACAAGAAAAAATGAAATGAGAAGGAATTTATAGGACGAAAAGTGTAGAAGATACGTGCTAGTTTGAGAGAGTGCTAATTAAAGGGCTTCTCTCAATACTCGAGGTCAACGGTTGAAAAGTTGGACTCAATTAGTTAAAGTAGATGGGAAAAATACGCACATTGACAATTCTTCACCTACAAATTAAAACATTTTTCAACTATTTTTTTTTAATAATCTAGCATAAATTTCTACATTCTTTTGCCTATAAATAAACAAGCCTCGAAGAAATGCTTCATACTCTCACCTCATTCACTCATTCAGCATTAAGAATAGAGCTTTGCCAAAAAAAAAAAAAAA